GCCGAAGCGCACGCACGCGCGGCGCAGCCGGCGGCCGACCGCCCCTCGGCGCCGGAGCCCGCGCCGGCTGCGCACGCGGCGGCTGCGGCGGCGGCGCCGGGCTGGGAGGCGCTGAGGCGGCGCAGCTGGCCCTCGATGGTCAGCCGCTCAAAATCCTCCTGCAACGGGTCGTCCGCATCCCCCTCCCCGCGCTCCTCGCCCTTCCCCCTCTCCGGGTCAGACACCCCTGCAATCGCCTCGTGCTCGCCGCCGCCACCATCACCAGGTCCAGGCTGAGGGTCGGCCGCCCCCGCCGCCGCGGCGGGCCGTGCGGCGCGGTCCTTCTGCGCGTGGTTGGCACGCCGCTTGCGCCGCTGCGCGTCCTTTTTCGACGCCTTGGTGCCCTTCACGCTCCACCCCAGCTCGTCGGCGTCCTCGCCCTCTTCGCTGCTGCTGCCCTGGCCGCCACCACGGCCGGTGGCCAGGCCTCTAACGGGCATGGTGTGGCGCTTGGCATGGGTGTTGCGGCGCAGCGACTCTTGGATGAGCTTGTCTGTGGGGTGTGTGTGTGTGTGTGAGTGTGTGTGTGTGCGTGCGTGCGTGCGTGCGTGCATGTGTGCGTGCGTGTGTGTGTGTGTGTGTGTGTGTGTGTATGTGTGTATGTGTGTGTGTGTGTGTGCGTGTGCGCGCGCGCACGCGTGTGTGTGTGTGTGTGTGTGTGTGTGTGTGTGCACAAGTGCGCGTGCGCACAGGAACGCATCTGTCGATGCATGTGTTCATTGCGAAAAGAGTTGGCAAAAACGACATTGCAAGCACCTCTCTTGCTGAGATAAGCCCACTTCAGCAGGCGCTGCAGCACCCCGTCCCCGCCTGCAACAGCCACCCACCCAGGCCCAGGCCGACGATGTCCTCGACCCTGGCCTCGCCGCCCCGCCGCGCGATCCGCATCTCCAGCAGTGCCCCCAGCACCGCCCGCTGCGTCGCCGCGGCGCCACCCTTGGCCGCGGACACCGCCAGCGCCGTCAGCCCCGGGTGGCGCGCCTCGAACCACGCGCGCCACGCGGCGGCTGCCGCAGGGTGCACCAGGTCTGACTTGTTGAGCAGCAGCAGGATGGGCAGGCCCAGGTCGTGGCCGGCGTGCGCGTAAAGGGCCTCGGGAAAGTGCAGCAGCGGGTTTCTTTGGGGGGAAGTCGGGTGAAGGGGAGAAGGTTGGGAGGTGGTGTAAACCGGGGGTGGGAGGAGCCGGCGGGGGCGGCAGGGAAACGCTGTGACAGGGGGGGAGGGAGAGAGGGTGTGGATGTCATCCAGAGGGGCGCCCGCACGGTCAAATCTGGACGAGGATGGCGGTGCCGGTGCGCGTCTGCTGTTGACAATACAGAGCCATGAAGTGTGCTGCCATGGGGCCAACGACGAGTGCGTGCCGGCTGGCGAGGCTCGCTCGCCAGTCCACGCATGCGGCAAGGCCGGCCCCAGAGGCCTGCCTTAACATGCCTGATGCCCATGGCAGTGTCAAACCCGCCTTGGAGGCCGCGCCTCACGCGCGACGCTGCCCCCAACAGACGCCAGCCGCACCGGAGCACCACCCATGCCCCACCCCACATCAGCCCCTGCCCCACCCCTCGCGCACGCCCCCCATAGAGGGTGGGTCGGCAAGGGTGTGACTTGGTAGAGAGGGCGCTGACCTGGCGTCGACGACGATGCACACCACGTCGCTCATCTCCAGTGTCCGCCACAGCTGCCGCCAGAACTCCAGGCGCGTCTCGTAGAAGCTCAGGCGCCCTTGCCCCTGCGCGCCGAAGCGGCGCTCGAGGGCGCCCCGCCACTCCCGGAACCGGCGCTCCTCCAGCACATGCAGCTGCTCCGCCGTGCGCACGACGCCCTGCGGGGGCCCGCACGCGCAGGGGTAGGGAGAGGGGGAGAGGGCGGGGCGGCGGGCATGAGCAGCGCGGGAGAAAAGGTGGCCGCCGGCGCTGCTCGACGGCTGCTCGACGGCTGCGCGGCTGCGCGGCTGCGCGGCTGGGCGGCCGTGCGGCGGCGCAGTCTGGCGGCTGCGTGGCTGTGCGGCCGAGGGGCTGTGCGGCTGCGTGCGGGTGTGGCGCAAGCTTGGGGAACGCTGCTGTGCACATGAGATCCTGAGAGCTCCTCACGCGGAGGCATGTGCCTAGGCAATAAGCGGCCTGCTCTCCCAGCGACGTTCCCTGATGTGCACCCCCCATCCCACCTGCCACGCCGGCCGCATCGGCATGCCGAGGCACCTGCCTTCTTCAGTCCACCCCACCTCCGCCTCGGTGATGCGCGCCATCCGCTCAGGCGGCGCGGGGCCATCGCTGCCGCCGCCGCCGCCGCCGCCTCCGGCCTCGCCTAAGCTGGTAGGGGGTTTGCTGCTGCTGCCCGCGCTTGGCGTAAAGAGGTCGCCGGGCGGGGCCACGTCGACCAAGGGTTTGTAAACGAGGGGAGCCTCCATATCCGCGGTCGACGGCGGCATGTTGCGCGCGTCCGCGGCGTGCTCGCGCGCGGCGGCGACGTCCGCGGCGCGCGCGGGCTGGGTGGCGGTCTTGCCGCCGGCGTCCTCGGCGGCCCCGCCGCCGCCGCTCGAGTCGCCCTCGCTGGAGCCCTCCTCGTCCTCGTCCTCGGAAGCGCGGAAACCCTCTGAGTCGCTCACGTCGCCGCTGCTGATCCTGCTGCCGCTGCTGCCGCTGCTGCTGCTGCTCTCGCCGTCATCGTCGCCGCCGCTCCCCGGCCTCCGCACCAGGCCGGGGCGGGCGGCGGCGCGCTGCTGCGGCTGACGCCCCTGCTGCTGCTCTCCCCCTTCGTCGCTGCTGTCGTCGTCTTCGCGCGCCTCAGACCTGACCTGGCGCTTCCACTGCAGGTATTGCTTCTTCGACTTTGCGCTTCCCGTGGCGCGGGGACCTTGCCTCCATGCTGGGGCTTCGTCATTGCTGTCGGCGCCACTGTTGCCTTTGCCGTGTCCCGCACTCCTGCCCCCTCGGCCCGCAGCGGCCGCTGTGCGGCCGCCACGCCTGGGACCCATCTCAGGTTTGCCCTTACTTCAACTAGGAGGGCTGCACGCCTGCGCGGGGAAGCAACGTGCGAGTAGTGCTTCGCTGCGCTGCATGCAGCTGCTCTGCACCAGGTGTGCAACACACGGGCGGAAGCACGAAACGTGCGATGCTGCACTCCCTACTGTACCATGATCCTTTTGCTTCACACACAGAACAATCTACTTCTAGAACGGTAACGGCCAAAAACGACTTGAAGCAGCTGCTCCACTCCGTCCCCCAGGCTCGTTGCGCTTTCTACGCCGCTCGCTTGGCACCGGCGTGTGCTTTCCGAGTGGTTGTTTAGGGACGCTTGCCCTCGCAGCTCGCATCCAGCGCAGCAGCAACCATGGACGATCCCACAGCGCTTTTTCATCAGTATGAGCAGGATTACTGCAACAAATCGACAGGAATCAGCCGAAAGATTGGCGCTCTAACAGGCGTGACCCTCGGTGCGCGCCCTGGCGAGCCTGCACGAGGTTGGACAGCCACGCTCTATCCCACCATGGCCCCTAAAAGCCCATATGTTGGTCTATCATACAACAGATGTGCGGCGGAGCAAGGCTACCGAGATCGAGGCGGACATGCGGGAGGCGGACAGCGTGGTGCGCGCTCGCCGCACGCTGCTCACAATGCATCGCCGCGCGACTGCGTTTCCCGGCACGCGCCCATCGCGTACATGCGCCCAAGCCAACCCTTGAGCCGCGCCCACCTTTGCATACATTGACCCCCACCTCCGGCTGCAGATTAAGCGCATGGACATGGAAGCCCGCAGCCTGCCAGCGGATAAAGCGCGCTCCCTGGCGTCGAAGGTCAAGGAGTACAAGGCCGACCTGGCCAGCCTCAGGGAGCAGCTCAAGCAGGCGGCCGCCACAGCGGGCGCCAGTGACGCGGCACGCGCAGAGCTGGTGGGTGCGGCGGACCTGCCAAGGAGCAGCAGCTGCGGTGGCGGCACTCTGGAATGTTTGGCGTGACAGGGGGGGGTTTGCGCGACGCTTGCGGTGCAGCCATCGCCGCGCAACTGCAGCTGTGAAGCCACTCGTGCTGGAAATAAGCGCTCGGACATGGCGGTGGTGCGCCAGTCAATGAGGGCGCGAGACCGCTGGACAGGCTGACCACGACGCTGTCTCTGCTGCCTCCCAACCCCTCAGGGCCTGGGCGGGGACTACTACAGCACGTCAGCGGGGCAGCGGGACCGCATGCTGCAATCCACTGAGCGGCTGCAGAAGACCTCAGAGCGGCTGCAGCTCGGCAAGCAGCAGCTAGCAGAGACAGAGGTGCGGCTGGGCACTTCCGGGCCGGGCAGGGCACTTGCAGGCCGGGTGTTGCAGTCCTGTTCCCGTGCTGCTTTGTGTCCAACAAGTCAGCATTGTTGTTTGTGTGTCAAGTTTAAGTTCGGAGCGGTGATCTTGACAGCTTATGCTGTCCATCGCGGTATCGTTGTTGTGGCCTTGTAGCAATGGCTACCTTCCCCGGCCCCGACCCCGCTGCCACCGCAGGAGCTGGGCGTGACCATCCTTGGGGACCTGGCGCGGCAGCGCGAGACCATCGTCCACGCGCGCGACACGCTGCATGGCGCGGACGACAACATCAGCAAGGCACGGCGGGTGCTGTCCTCGATGTCAAAGCGCGTCATCGCCAACAAGATCATCATGTTTGGCATCAGGTGCGTGCGCATGTGTGCGTGCTGCGTGATGACGTGGGTGCATGTGTGTATGTGTGTGTCAGTGTGCGCGTGTGCTTGCTGGTGTTTGTGTGTGTGTGTGTGTGTGTGAGTGTGTGTGTGTGTGTGTGTGTGTGTGTGCCCATGCCGGCACAGACAGATTTGTGCAATTCCATGCAGGCATGCACATGCGCATGTGTGTGTTTGGATGTTGCTGTGCGCGCGTGTGTGCCAATGTGAAAAACCAAAACACAGCCTACTTCCTGTTCTGGACAGGGCCCCACTTCATGCATTTCGCTTTCCATCGCTGATCATTTCCCCACCCTGCTTGCGCGAACTCCTGCCCCTTTCAGTGCCTTCCTGCTGCTGGGCATCATCCTGATCATCTACTACCGTGTCAAGGGCTGAGGGAGCAATGTATGTCATGCACCTCACCTGCAAGCAAGCATGGCGGCAACGTGTTGACGTTTTGTTGGTGGTTTGGCGATTTTTACTCTGTCCTCTTGCTTTGAGCCTCTTTTGCAGTGCTCCACTTCAAGTGGAGCATGGCAAGGCTCCATGTGATTTTTATATGCCGCCCGTCCCCGTTTGACACGACGTGGGCGTTTGTCACGCGCACGCTGCAACTTCACAGCGCGAGGTTGTGTGTCCTACTGGAAGGCAATGGTGCCGTTTTTGGCGCATGGGGCAAGGCTTTTGCTTGTAAACAAGCACTGTCCCTGCTTAGTGGTGTCTTCACATCCAGGACACTATCATTCTGTCAACGGTGTGGCGGCTTGTCATTGCCCAGTACTATGGCCCAACAATTTGCCCGATCGCCCACCTGGTGACGCGGGTGATCATGACGCTGGTCGGCAGCCTGGCGAGGGCATGGCTGGATGACACCGCTGGCTGTTGTGGTGCTTCGAAGGCGATCAGAGGACAACAGCGTACACTACCCTTTGCAGCGTCCGGCTTGGGCTGCCGCACCTCCAGTGAGCAGCTGCAGCACACAATGAGCAGCAGGCCTTCGCACTGCGAGCTCAAGATGCCCGTGCCCCCGGGCATGCGCCACACGTCCACGCATCTGTATGTCAAATATCTTACATACGAAATGTTACCCTGACATACAGCTGGGCCCGCGTGATGCGGGCACTGGTTTTCCTGCTGGCGTTGATAGCGCCTGCGGCATGCGATCATGTCGTAGTAAAAACTACGCGGGAGCTTGTCGCAGCGCTGGAGGACCGGGCGGTCTCGGAGGTCGAGTTGGGAACCAGTATCGATCTCCGTCTCGCAGCGTCACGCGTGATAGAGGTCGATAGGGATGTTTTAATAACCTCCAGCTCTCTCACGATTGTTTTCGACCTCGCCAACGGCGTGCGAGGCGTCGTCTTAGCCAGGTCGGTTCAGGCGGCATGCGGCAACAGGGGAAGCGGGACGTGGCGCATGTGCGCTCTGGCCGCTGTGTAAACCCGATGCCCAGTGCTTCTGGTGTGATTTCACGTCGTTACTCCATGTTGCGTACCTACCGTCCTCCGCTGCGCAGGGCTGGCGCCACAATCACGCTGCGCGGGCTCACGCTCGTGCGTTTCCTGCCGGCGCCGCCGGCGCCCGGCGCGGCCGCCCCGCCGCCCCAACCCTCGCCCCTCGCGGGCATCGATGCAGCTGGCCCCGGGGCCTCGGTCCGCCTAGAAGACTGCGTCCTGATCGCGGCCGCGCCGCCCAGCGGCGGCGGGCCCGCGGCGAGCAGCTTCTGGGCGTCTGCGGCCACGGCCGGGGCGCTCGGCGCTGGCGCGCCCGCGCAGCCGGCGCGCGCGCGGGCCGTGCCGGTCGACTACGCAGCCGGTGCCACGGGCGGCGTGTCCGGCGCGGTGCGGCGCTCGGTGCTACTGCTCGACCCGGGCGGGTGCTTTGCTGCGGCGGGGCCCGGGACGGCCGCCGTCTACGACACTGGCAGCTTCGCGGAGGCGCTGTCCGACCCCCTCGCGCTTCGCGCCCTTGTCGCCCAAAACACGACGCTCGGCACTGGCCTCGCGGCGCCCGACCCCGGCGGCGGCGCGGCCGCGGCGGCGGCGGCGCCGCCGCCGCTCCAGCTGCTGCCGCTCGCGCAGGCGCCGCCGCTGGCGCGACGGCTGGTCATATCCGGCTGCCCCGGCGCAGCACTGGACCTGGGGGGAGTCGTCGGATCGATCGTGGTGGGCGCCGGCGGCGAGCTGGTGTTCGGCCAGCCGCTGACGCTGCTGGGTCCGCTCGCGGCGGCGGCGCCGCTGGGGGACGGCGGGGACGGCGGCCCCGCGACGCTCGCACCTGCGGCCGTGCGTGTTCTCGAGGGCGGCTCGCTCGCATTGTTGGGGGTGCAGCTTTCGGCGCCGGGCGCGCAGGCGCTGGCGCAGCAGCTGGGCGGCGCGGGCGCGGCGGGTGCCAAGGGCGGCGGCGGCGGCGGGGTTGTGGTTGTGGCAAACTGGAGCGCGCAGGCGCCCACCGGCGGTGAGCTGGGTGCGCGGGGCGTGGGTAGGCGCTGTTCGACGTGTCTGCTCTTGTCGGACAGCGCGGGCTGCGCCGCCGCTCCGCCAGGCCGCTCTCCACGCGCCTGGCTGGGGGCTTTTGTTGGGGAATGGGATGGGGGTGGACGTACACACCTCTGGTGGGCGTCACAGGGTGCCACCACCCCGTCCACGCTCCTGGCAGGCCGTGTCAGTGCGTCAAACTTGAAGGTGCTGCAGGCGCCGCCAGCGCCTGGCTGCCCGGCCGCCCAGGCCCCGGGCCCGACGGGCGGCAGCGGCGTTGGGGGCGGCGGCGGCGGGACGGCCGCCGTCGCGGCGGCAGACGCGGGGCAGCTGCGGCGCGCGCTGCAGGACCCGGCGGTGCGGCTGGTGCTGCTGACAGGGCCCGTCCGGCTGGCGCCGCCGGCGGCGGCGGGCGGGCCGTGGGGCGGCGGCGGCATGCCGGAGGAGCGCCCGGGCCCGATAGTGCTCGAGCGCTCGGTCGAGATCAGATCGTGCGTCGACGCGGACGGCAGTGGCGGCGGTCAACCCATGGAGTTTGACTTCGCGGACGGCGTCGGGGTCATCGTGGTGGCGGGCGGCGCGGTGCTGCGGCTGTCAGGGAACCTGCTGCTTCGGCCGTGCGCGGGCGGCGCCGCCGCTTGCGCGGCGGTGTGGCCGGCGGTTCCCGGGGTTGCGCTCGGCCCCGGCTCGCAGTTGCAGTTGGAGGTGAGGGCTGGGGTCAGGGCGCCGCGCGAGGGGCGGCGGTGGGAGCTTGCGTTGAAGCGCGGGGCCCACGCACGGCGCGGGCGGTTCGTTTTGGGCGGCGCTCGCTGGGTGTGGTACGAGCGGCAGGCCGCCGTTTGGGTGGCGGCAGCTGCCGCTGTGATCGCGACCACGCTGGCTGGGGTTGCCGGCTTCCACAATCCTGTGCAACCCAACCTGGCGCCTAAACTGGCGCTGCGCCTCAATTCCTAGGGCGTGAAAATTGAGGGGGGCACCCTCACACCTTGGGTCGACCCCGGCATCACCAGCGCCGGCGGGGCCATCTTGGCCATGCAGCAGCGCCGCGCGCCCGCCGCCGGCGCGCCCCCCACGTCGGCAGACGCGTCTTGGGACGCGCCGCGCGGCGGCGTCCAGCGGTTGCGGCTGCGGCGGCTGGCGGCGAGCGCGGCGGAGGTCTGGGGCAGCCTCGCAGGCGCAGCCGGCTCGGGGCGGCGGCGGCTGCGCGCAACTTCGGTGCCCAGGGACGGCAACAGCAGCAGCAGCAGCAGCAGCAGCAGCAGCAGCAGCAGCAGCAGCAGCAGCAGCAGCAGCAGCAGCAGCAGCAGGAGCAGCAGCAACAGCAGTAACCGCAGCAGCGGAGGCGGTCGGGCAGCCCCTTATTACATTTTCATGGATGTGACCTTGTCGTTCGACCCTGCCCTAGCGCCCGCTGCGGCGGCTCCCCCAGGCGGGGCCGGGAGCAAGCTACTGGCCGCCGCCATCGTCGGCTGGGTCGTGGGCGGCGCGGCGCTGCTGCTGCTGCTCGCGGCGTCCGCCTTCCTCGCCGCGCGCGCCCTGCAGCGGCGCGGGGACGCCGGGGCCAAGGTGGCTGGCAAGGGCGCCGCCTCTGGGTTCCTGCCGCCGTGGCGGCGCGGCGGCAGCCTCAAGCCCTCAAGCGGCGGCGGCGACATTGAGGACGGCGCCAAAGCCGGCGGCGGCGCCGCCGCAGCTCACGCGCACGCGCACACGCACCCCCCTGACGGCGTCCCCTGCCGCACCGGCGCCCTGTGCAGCGTCTGTGCCGCGCGGGAGGCGAGCCTGTTCGTGGCGCGCGTGCGGCCCGACCCCTGGGCCGTCGGCGCCACCGGCAGCACGGGCGGCCCCATCGTCCTCACTGGCCTCATGCCCGGCTCCCCCTCTGCGGTCGCGGCGCCGCGCAGCCCCTTGCGCGGCGCCTACGACGCACCTTTCCGCGGCGGCGGCGCCGCCGCCGCCTTTGCCGCAGCTGCGGCGAGCGCGAGCGGCGGCGGCGGCGGGGGTTCACAGGACGCGGGGCGTCAGCGGCACCAGCGGCAGCAGTTTGAAAGCGCGGCGCGCGCGGTGCAGGCGCTCCACGAGGCGGGGACGTCGCGGGACATCCAAGGGGACCTGGTGCTCGAGTCAGTGCTGGGGGAGGGGACGTTTGGGATGGTGGGTGGTGGTGCTCAGGATGATGGGTGGGGGAGCAGGGTGTTAGGTCCCAGGGTTTAGGGGTTAGGGTTGGGGGGTGGCTGCAGTTGTTTTGGGGGAGGCATGGAGTGCGTGCGGATTGGAGCGGCGGGCGAGGTCGCGAGTGAGCACGCGGCAGGCGGCGCAGGGGGCGCCGGTGGGGGTCGCGACGGGGCGCCAGACGAGGGCCGGGCGCAGCAGATGCCTATCCCGTGCAGCCAGAAGCTCTCACCCATTCGCCCCCCTTCACCTACGAGTGCCGCGCCGTGCAGCGCTGTGCTGCGACTCACTTCCTGTGCCGCCCTGCGCCGCTCCGACTGTTTCCAGGTGTACCGTGCGTGGTGGAAGGGCACGCTGGTGGCTGTGAAGCGCATGCTGTTCCCGGCCGGCATGAGCGGCGCCGCCAAGCGGGAGAAGATGGCCATCATGGAGACAGCCATCAGCGCGCGACTCAGGTGTGTGTGTGCGCGCGCGGGTGTGTGTTTTTGTGTGTGTGTGTGGGTGTGTGTGTGTGCGCGCGCGCGCGCGTGTGTGTGTGTGTGTGTGTGTGTGTGTGTGTGTTTTTAAGCTAGGGTTGGCATAACTGTTGAAGACGACAGGAACATGTTTGATGTATGTTCGTGTATGTGTGTTTTTGCATTCACACGTGCACACAAGCGCATGCGTGCTCGTGGATGTGGAGGCTCAAAGGCTTGTAAGTAATTGCATGCGTTTGTGTGTGTGTGCATGTGTGTGTGTGTGTGTGCGCGCGCGCTCGCGTTCACACTAAAGCGCGCACAGGGCGTGCCTTGCCCAAAGAACACGGCCGTGCCCCAACCCACGGGCAACCTGCCGCGTCCGCCCTGCAGCCCCGCACTCCCTTGGCCCCCATGCTTCTCCCATTTGTGTTGTTTAACACACACAGACACACACACACACCTGCCGACAAACTGCTGAAAACGGGCCCGAAACCCTGCTACCCCCAGGCACCCCAATATCGTGCAGCTCTACGCGTTCTACCTGAGGCCCCTGGCTGCAGCGCCCGACGGCGAGGGCGGGGACAAGATGGACGCGCACCCCGACGACGATAGCTTCGCGTGAGCTTCCCGCCCTCCCCACACACACACCCCAAACACACACACACACACACACACACACACAACTAATCAGGGGTGTTGCCAACAGGGCACACGCCGCGTGGGGTCGACTGGCCGCGGCGCCACCCTTGGCGCTCCCCTCTTTTCCGCCGCGCCCCTCCGCCTTGCAGCCAGACGCAGACCCCGACCCCACCACGCACAGCAGGCCCTGCTTTGCGCACCCCCCAGCCGCCAACGCCCCGGCTGGGCCCCTTGCCGCCTCGCCCTCCCCTCCGTTGCAGGTCGCTGCCCGGCAGCAGCCGCGACCATCTGGCCCAGGCCTTCCTGTCAGGGGAGGACGACGCAGCGCGCTACAGCTGGGAGGTGGGGGGGCACCCAAACGGCCCGGGCTGCTTGCATGTACAAGGGGCATGGGCAGTGCGGAGGGGGAGGGG